TATCAGTATACTGTTATAAAATACGTTGTTTTAAAAGAGATATTAAATGCAAATCACGATACATACATTGCGATTTCTACTTAATGTTTGTAATAATTAATATAATATCCTTTTAGATAATTAGAAATATTAAAAAATAAATCAAGTGAATTACTCGACATTCAAATTCAGGAAGAGTGGTTTTACATATAGGCTAGGCCAGATCCCTAATCCAGTTCCCCAATCCCATTCAGATTTTCTCAATAAATAAAAAACATAATGTGATAAAGGAACATAATAAATGTTATCTTTAATGTCGACGTAATTAATTATATGGAAAAAAAAAACCACATAAGATTTTATAAATGTACACAAGTTTGTGTTAAGACATTGAAAAGAACACAAACTCGTGTCATTGCAATGCAATACAACACAAACATGTGTTAAATATTTTTAACACAAGTTCTTGTGTTGAGATCCAACACAAGGGTTTTTTCAGTGTACAATTAAACAGAATAATGTTGACCTTACACGGTGCCTATATGAAACACTTACTCAAAAATGGTAATTTTCCAGCCCTAATAGATGACGCATTACATTTTCTATATAGGAAAGAGCGGGTTTGATTTACCCTCAGACAATCTTTTGGAGCTCGGGAGATCACCATACCTATAGCCTCCTCGACTTAGAGGCTAGGGTGAACACATCATCCTAGCGCGAACCTTATGTAGAACTAGCAAGAATTATGTGGTTCTTGTCACGTTTAACAGGCGATACGTTTCAAGTCAGTAGCTTGAAGCGTATATATGGTATTAGTGTCAGTGGCCTGTGGCACGAAGTAACAGTATATTGTCGCATACATAATATATTATGTCAACGCTTGGGCGATATAATATATTATGTCAACGCTTGGAACTAGGATGGAGGTGACTAGGCATGAACTTGCAACGATAGATTTAATTGGCGCTTTGATAACCAATGAATGCTTTGGAGACATATTTTGGCGGTATTTTCCATCATGGAATCGGTAAGTTTCGATTGTTTTTTTCTTTTCTGTTTTTTCTCTCTTTTCTGTGTCCTAACCCTAACCCTAACCCTAATCCGAAAGAAAAGTGCCCTTTTTTGAAATTCTGACATCACAGGTGCCCTTTTTCTGATAAGGATGCCCTCTTTTATTTACAGGGACACTTTCTATTGTTAAGGGGGTGGACCGGTCCCCATGGTCCAACCCCTGGATCCACTCTGATGACGCGTACATTCCACTGAGTCTACAGGTCTAATATGCTAACACGCTTGGAGCGTCAACACAATATATTATGTCGCCCAAGCGTTGACATAATATATTATGTATGCGACAATATACTGTTACTTCGTGCCACAAGCCACTGACACTAATACCATATATACGCTTCAAGCTACTGACTTGAAACGTGCAGGGTGCGTTTAAGCCGTTCTGAGTTAGAAAGGATATTAAACCCAGAACGGGGATATTTTAATAACTCAAAAATTACTATCATAACTTTGTAGTTTCCTGTATGTATTTAATTATATAAACTAAGTAACAACATAAACGGTGTTCCAGAGTCAGTTATTTGATGATTGAAATAATTGAGCCAACAACGTGAAGTCGAAGAAGGTTCTAGACGATAATGTCACAGCGACCCCAAAGTGCCACACATCTGTACCCCGTAGTGCCACAGTAGCAAGTACCTAGACGTCTGTCCGGAGCTGGAAACGCATCTTCGGTTTTAGAATTCATTGTCGTTATAATTATAAGTTTCGAGGGTTGTGTTTAAGATAACGTCATATGCAGGTTAGAGAAGCGTAGCTCGTCTCGTACACGACACCCCGCAATTATTTAAAGCTATCTGGAACGATCGTCCTTACCAGGATTTAGGACCAAGTCCGACCCCTATCCCAACAAAGGTACCTATATTTTATTATTCTACCAATGCTGACTTACTCCAAGATATTATTAAAGTTGTCATGTACAGTATTCACAAGAAATGTTTCTAAAAATGCAGAAATTCACAGTTTAACAGTTCTTTTAATGACTGTATAAACATAACAAAGCGGACACTGTAATTACTGAATCATGCTTGTTGATGGGCAGAACACTAAATCACAATGAAACCCTTCGGATGTATTATTAAAAGTCTTCAGAAGTCGTAGATGTTTTACTGTTTACTCAGTTCTATACAATCACAAGATACAAGAGCATATAATATAGACACTCCATGATGATCAGGCCCGGAATTCACAAAGCAGACTTAAACTGGCATTATGCAAACGCTAAATCTGCCTATCGCAGACCTTTCTTTAGGTCTGAAATGTTATAGAAATTATTAATTAGACATTAATTAACTTACCAAAGCGGGAAGACCATAATCAACCCACAATGGCATCAGATGGCTGCGATATAAGTAGATTTAAATACGTATTGTGGTCGATGTGGTTACCGTAAAAATGGATAATCGAGACTTTTTTATTATCGTAACAACGGTAGTAGTGACAATCAAGGCTAGACTGAATTGTATCGCTACTATCTGAACTTTTCTGCATATTCTCTCTTCATTATCTATTTCTTTACTATTATAGCGCGAACTGTCATTTCTTCATCTAATCTTACCTAACGCCGCTTTAAGTTAAGAATTTACTCAAAATTGTTCGCCTTACTTTAACTAAAATATAGCCCTTTATAAAACTTTTGTTGTTTTACTGTTTTAAATATACTAATAAGAAACTAAGTGCAAAGTTTGGTTCTACTGGATTAAAGACATTTCTCATAAACAGTGATTGACAGTTGAGTCGGGTCCTGGGTCCGAATTGAAAGGATATCTTAAGTCTAAGATAGTCACTTAACTACTAGCTTTCACTAAAAAATACGTAACTTCCTGTAAGTTAAGGGCAAGTGGTATTAAAAGGCACTGTTAAGTATCAAATTTTCCCTTAAAGTTAAGCTGCCTTAACTTTTAAGTGTTAGTCTTTAAGTGGTGTTCAAAGGTCAGTTTAAGTGAAAAATATCCACCTATGGGAGGTACCTTAAAGTTAAGTGAGATTATAATGATTTATTTTAACGCTGTAGTAGCAGTCTCGTAATGGCGATTTTAAACGTTCGGGGATTCAGATTGAAACAAAGACAATGTCGCCGAGCGTAGCTGGCCTCAAATCTTTTTTTTTTTCATCGTCAGCTTTGATGTTGCAGTGCCATAATAGAGTATAAGGTTATTACCACGAGATAGTCAAGGATATCTTTTTCCGATCATTTACCATGTTGGTATTGCTTAATCACGTTTCCACGACTTTCATATAATAAAGTTAAATTCATTTGTGATGACATGGCGTTACAGATTTCAGAAATTATTTATACTACCGCTAGAAGCAAGGCACGATTTATTTTTTACAACCCATATACATAATCGGTAGTATTTATTTAGGTAAAAAATGCATCTTTCGTACACACAATGTACCGTCAACGCCAGGCCTTTGCAAATCTAAAAAGTAGGTACTTACACAATGTCTATGAATCTCTCAAATGATAGATTTATAAACAACACTGAATGATTTGTCCAGTCTAACTTAGAAGGCAAAGGTCATTATGTATTGCTAATATGTTATTTTCTATTCGTGATATTTTGTTAAAAAATTAAAGTTTATGTAAACTAATGTAAGGGGGCATAACTTGCTTACGATGTTAGAAATTTGTTATTTTTGGCAGTGGAGGGTATTCCATAAATTAAAAAATTATGCTATTTGGCGAATGTGAGTATTCCATAATTTAAGTGTGCAGTTAAGTTTTTCACATAGCCAGGTCTACGTAAAATACAACCTTTGAATACCGATTTAAGGTAATACAGTCAGTTAAGTGTAAAAATTAAGTATTTTTACTTAACTTTTAGAAAACCTTTGAATACGGACCCAGATCTCGTGACAATCACACTTATAAACTTATGTACTTATGTATCCTCTCACACCCCCAAACAGCCTTATATAGCAACTGTTCGTCTTCAGAGGAATTGTCGGTGAACTGTCGTTTGTTTATATGGTAGTTTTAAAATGACATAGGTGCACTATGTTGAATAAACATAATACGCCCCTCGTTTCTTGTTTTAACTCGATTAAAATTTCCCGATAACTGCAGAGGACGGGAAAAAAACAATATCACCAGTCAGATGTTGATTATTATCTATTGTAGATTTAATTTTATCAATTTAACAGTACATATATAAATAAGTTTAAATATGTCGCTGGCTGGGGAACAAAAGCAAAAATTGGTAAGATATTATTATTTTTTTCTAAACAAGTGGGTTTAGTGGTTCATCTGACAAAATTTTAGGATTTTTGAAAAAAAAAAAAAAAAAAATCAAAAAAAAAATCGGTAATCTTCTCTACTTGAATTACATAATGTATTTGAGAAGGGTGGGTTGGGTGTGTGCCTGATTGTTTGACTTTGACCGGCAATCTATAGGAGTGGATGAGAAGCATTAAAACTATTTACAAACAAATCGGGATAAGCATAGAGGAATGTCGCTTGTATTAAGACTGTATGAAGTAGTGTGATTAAAAAAATCCAACAATAATTTAATTTGAAAAAGTTCACGAGGAAGCGATCAAATAAAACTTCCCCGTGATTCAAGCCATGTATGCTGATTATCGTTATTGTAGATTTTATTTTTATTAATTTAACATTAGGTATACCGATATTGATGTAAGCGCCTGCATGGAATACTATTAGGGACATATTCTTTGATACACAAACTTGTTCATTCGATTTCTTATAGGCTACCGAAATGACTTACCGGGATAATGAAGACGGGTATGTTCCAAACATTGGGCTATGAGAGAACTTTTACCCGGACAACGGCGTTTCCGTCTGTTCTTCACCGAATTCTGTCAATGGTTCTTTAACGAGCACAAGCACGAGTACACTGTTACAGTTTGTTTTTGTCCCATCTGAACGACCAGATGTTTCCCTTGACCGATTACTATAGTATATGTCATTTGAATTATTTACAGGGTGGTTTTAATAGGAACATATTTTTTGCAACCACGTCTTGCATTGTTGGCTCTTCATTTCAATATGGTTACAACATTGCTGTATTAAATGAACCACAAGAGGTAAAAGAAATCCATATCAAACAAACTACAATGTATATATAACCCAACATAAAATATTTCGGAACTATAACATGGCATATTTATTTCAGTAATTCACTTGAGCGCATGTCCACAAAAGTTGGAGAATAAAGTTTATTCTGGCGACACTACTCCCTGTCATACACAAGCGGGTTATCTAACTATCGACATTTTGATCGATAGAGTACGACAATGACTACCCTTATCATGTTCAAACCGTAGTCCCGAAATGACCTAGTTTGTGTCATGTGGACGTTAAGATTGTTAGCTACATGAACCTTCCACAAAAAAAATATTCCACTCACGGATGAGCTAAAATATAATTGTTATCAAGTTTTCTGAAGGAGTAAGCTTACAATCTCTTTCAGAAATGTAGTCAAAGCTGGCCAGAGTTTATGGATTAACAATATCGCCTGAAAATATAAAAAAAAGCGGCTGCCAGGCAAGATACGTCCATATTTTACAAGAGATGGATAGAGAACAAGCTAAAAAAAAAGCGGCTTTTCGTACAATCAGGGGCTATAATCCAGAAGGTTATGGTCTGAAATACGCCAATATCAACAGGAACCACAATCTTTAAATTATAAATATAAATTTCAGGTTTCATCAACATCGGATAAAAATTGTGATTTCTAGAGTGTTCACAACCTTGGTATTACATACTTTTACACTATTTGCGTACAAGGAGCGGCCATTTTGTCTGGCAGTTTTGGTCAGAATTTTACGAAATTTGAACGCAACCTTCATTGGTGTAATGGTGATTATTAAAATGTTTTTTTTTTTAAATTGAACACAAATTGTGATTTCTAGCGGGTCCACAAGCTAAAAATGCGATTTTCGAACAATCAGGGGATATAATCCATGAAGTTACGTTCGGATATGCGCGATTATCAAAAGGAACCAAGATCTTTGTGATATAAACATATATTTAAAGTTTCATCAAAATCTGATAAAAATTGTGACCTCTAGAGGGTCCAAAAGCTTGATATACCATATTTTTACACCATTTGCGTACGAGGGGCGGCCATTTTGTGAGGCAGTTTTGGTCCGATTTTTACGAAATTCTAACTCATCCGACATTACGATGTAACGGTGATATATTCGAACGTTTTTTTTTTAAAATCGAATAATAATTGTGACCTCTAGAGGGACCACAAGCTAAAAACATGAATTTTCGTACAATCAGGGGCCATAATCCATGAAGCTATGGTCCGATACATGCCAATATCGAAAGGAACCGAGATCTTTGGGGATAGACCTATATTTAAAGTTTCGTCAAAATCGGATAAAAATTATGACCTGTAGAGTGTCCACAAACAAATTGTGGACGGACGGCATAATACGTCCACATGAAAATGTGGGCGTATAAAAAATAAAACTGGCATAATATTATAAACGTGCGTTTCCGTATGCTTTGAATAGAAGTTTGAGTTCCAATATCGTAGTTAAAAGTATAATTCATTCAAGTCAATACCAAAATATATGAAATAAAAGTGCGAATATATAAACAATTGTGGGTGGTGTAAATAAACAAATATAATCAATTATCGGTGGTGTAATTATGAAAATATAAACTAAATGTAGCTCGCTTTGTGAGAGATATCTGATTCTGAAATCATTTAAATCATAAATTGTAATAAAACAAGTATTATCGATTATAATAAAATCGTACTTTTCCTTTTACTAATTTACATATTATTATATACTTTACATTATTAAATCATCGAAATCTAAATATAAACAAGTATTGATTCGTTTTCGTATAAAGAAACATACTTTTCCCGTTATATGATCATGATATCATAATTTGATATTTAAGATAAATCGACGAGTATTTTAAATCTCGTTTTTTTTTTACTAGACAAGTATTTACTAGATTTGTTAAATCAGACTTTTCAGCTTAGTAAAATCGTTATATAAATCAATGAAATAACAGATGTTATTTTATTTAAATTAGCTGGTATAAACTAAAAGTATGAAATATATCTGCTATTAATTCAGTTCACCTATGCTATAGCATATAAAATAACGTATCGCATCCTTATCAATTTTTATTCTTACAATTACACAATTCATCTATCTATCTATCTATCTATCTATCTATCTATACTAATTTTTGTGACTGTCGTTTGTCTGTCTGTCTGTTTGTCTGTCTGTTCGGGTTTGGCGGCTACACTAGGTCTGCCCCGATCCTGAAATTTGGGGTATAGGGGTAGCTCGGACCGGGGAGTAACATAGGCCAGGTGGCGTTAGTCTACCACTTCCGGTTTCGGAGTTATGACCCCCGAGCGAAGCCGGGCATTCTTCTAGTACAATATAAAACATAGAAATAAACTTAAAATGTTTTACATACAATAAGTATGTGTGAGTTAGTTGTATTTTACGTCCGCTTCCACCGAGGTGATATCGCAGACAATAAGTAAAGAGACATAGCTTTAAATAGAAATTAGAGTTAAAAACAAATCTATCAACGTCAGCAAAGAAATGTTACTTTAGTTTTAAAAAAAAATACGCAATTTAAATCTTATTAATAAAATACGTATGCAAATTATATATGAAAATATACACCACTACAATATTCCATAAATCACATATCCAACACCATAATTAATAGAACCCTCCCCGAATTAATGATTATAGGTGGACCATCGACTTGCAACCAACCTATCGCACCACAATTGGTTGGATGTCCATCGAAAGGTTTAGAGATTTACCCAACTTAGCCGAGCAATTTCAGCTGAAATCATACGTAGTTTAGCACCATTAAAGCAACTTAACTACCCCAAATAGTTGAAACCAATCCAGAAATAAAAAAAATTAGAAAATATTCCAAAATATCTATATTTTTTTTTTTACTTTTAGAGGAAGTCGAAAATGTCAAACATTTCTGAAGTTTCCACTTTTAGAGACTGTGCTTGGGGTCGTGCCAATAATTTTCACCTAGCTAACATAAACACACAACATAACATTGATTTAAACAATATTTTATTCAAATAAATGAAATGAAATGGGGTTTAACGTTCTACTGTTCTGCTCCTATACTGGGCTAATGAAGACGGGCATACGCCATACAGTGTGCTATGAGGGAAATTTTGCCCGAGCAGCGGCACTATCGCCTACTCTTATATCGAATTCCAACTGCCAAGGGATCTTTTACGTGCATTCCAATGTTTACACGGGACCTCGGGTTTTCGTCTCATCCGAAGGACTAGACAGCTGTCCTTGTCAGGCCCTCCGTCCTGCATCACTGACAAGGGGAAACCACGTCGGAAAATTTATTCAAATAAGATGGATATTGTATACATACTGTCAAAAGGTATAAAGATTCAAAAACAAGCCAAAGGCTTATATTAATTCGTCTCCTTATTTAATGAATATATACTATTCAAAAAAAGTAGGGGATATTTGATTTTTAAGTGTTATTAAAGTCACCTAATGAAACTGACGAAGAAACAAATGACAAAATGAAATGAAGTTCACATTCATCGATTTATTCCAAATGATCGTTAGACTAAGTAAGGCACAGACTGACCATTATAAGGGTAAAATGATACCCGGGGTCAAACAGCAAAGTTACCACAGCATCACAACCAAGTCAGTAACGGGTAAATCCTCCTCTGTTTGCCAAACAAGCATTGATCCGACGTGGCATACTCCTAATGAGACGTCTAAGGTCATTTTGGTCCAGATTGTCCCATTCCTGTTGCAACGCAGCAGCAAGTTCTTGGACATTGGCAGGACGTTGTTGACGTTGACGTAACCTCTGTCCAAGCATGTCCCAGACATGCTCGATGGGGGAGAGGTCGGGACTCAGTGCTGGCCAAGGTAATGTGGTGATGTTCTGTTGTTGGAGGTAACCTGTAACGATCCTGGCCCTGTGACATCTTGCGTTGTCATCCTGGAAGATGAAACGGCGGCCATGACGTCGTGCGAACGGCACAACATGGACTGCCAAGATGTTGTCCCGGTAGTACTGGCCTGTAACACGCCCTGCAACAACATGTAAAGCCGTTCTTCCAGCAACAGTGATGCCTCCCCACACCATAACAGAACCACCCCCAAATCGATCATGTCTGATGACGTTAACGTCTTAGAAGCGCTCGTTTCGACGACGCCACACCCTCCTACGTCTGTCCAAAAAATCAACAGTGAACCTTGACTCATCTGAAAACATCACATTGCTCCAGCGTCGATTATCCCAGTGTTGACGATCCCTACACCAACGACGTCTTGCCTGAATGTGATGATCTCTCAAACAAGGGATCACGCGAGGACGTCGGGCGCGAAGGTGACCCCTATGCAGTCGATTCCGAATCGTCTGGCCACTCACTCTCACACCAGTGTCTGTTTGAAGACGAGCGCTGATCTGATTTGCTGTGATGACACGATTTCTCAAGGCCAAGGTACGGAAAAATCGATCCTGGGCTTGAGTTGTCGCCCTTGGTCGACCTGAGCGTGGTCTGTCCTGTACAGATTGTGTATCACGGTATCTGGACCATAGCCTGCTTATGACAGACTGAGAAACATTCATCGTCCGCGCCACAACCGCCTGTGTTGTGCCGATCTGTAGCATGCCAAGGGCACGTAACCTTTCATTTTGGGTAAGCCGACGCATATCAAAATTTGTTTTCTGGTCACTAAAACAATTAAACTGATGTTTCCACCCTGGAATTCAATGCCACAATGACTGTAACATTCAAAGTCAGAGTCGTGCAAATCTTGGGTTGGACCCCCATGATGATCCCAAGCATCACCTGCATTCCATGCGGTAGCTATTGGTGCCATACATGTAACTGGAAATGTTTCTTCTGTTAGGTTCTATAGTGACTTTTTTCGTAGTCATTTGCATATTTTAGTATTATGCCCCCAAAATCAAATATCCCCTACTTTTTTTGAATAGTATACTACAAATACAATTGTAATATGTACATGTGCACTTCACATATAAAATACATTTAATAATATGGTATTTTCTATTTACTATTAATCGTGCATGCAAGTAATTTAATAATTTGTGCCACTTACAGTACCTTACCATTTCATAATACGCTTGCTCGTAAGATGTTTTGAGGACATCAGATGTATATTAACCGAGAAAGTAATTAATTCAGCTAATATTTTACGATGGTTATTGGAATCTTTTGGATAAATGTATAAATTTATGGACTGTATTAAAATGGTGCATATTCATTTGCAAGGTATTATTACTATCACCTTTTGTTGGAGTTTGTAAATTAAGAAAAATATTTGGTAATGTATTTATAGTTTGGAATCTAACATTGGTAAAATTTGGACAGTGTAACAAGTAGTGTTCCGTATCCTCTATATAATGGCCACAGGAACAAGCTGGGTTGTCCGTTAAATGCATAGTGAATTTATGGTAGTTTAAGTTGCTTTTATTGTGACGCAGTTTTTGTATGGATTATTTGAGAAGAACGCTTTCCGACCTAAAACTATTTAGGTAGTGATATATCATTATTGGTTAAGTGTGCTTTAAAGATTTTTATAGTAGGGCATGCAATATATATATATATATATATATATATATATATATATATATATATATAAGCGCATCATTTTCAAATGTGATTTTCATGTTTTGTGGGCCAGGGGCATAAATTATGCATAATATGAATAGGTCAAACAATCCTTACAAGTTCGAACAAAAGAAATCTCAAAAACTTTGCTCAAATAGATCCAATTGATTGAACAGGTGCACAGCACAAGGATATTGCGAACGAAAATCTCAGAATGGAAAGACTTACAAACCGCTTTGTCGATAAGGACAGCAACTCTGCGAACAATCATTGCACGACCATTAATTTCAACAGGATTCCACCGTGAGACTATCCACTCGAGCGTTTGCAGTGTTTCTGTGTGTGTAATTTTTTTAAAAAAAAAAAAGTTGTTAAAACCTTTAAGCTGAATTGGTGCCATGGTTGGACCGTAACTCTGCGAAAATTCGCTGCATGAGTATGAACGGCGATACGGTACCTCCCGAGGCCTAGCCGAACAATTTCAGCAAATTTGAAAAAAGAGAACAAATTCTCAAGAAAATGACCTGCCGAGCGGACGGACAGGGCTGACACCAGTATACTGCCATATAAAATGTGGGCGTATGGAAATTGTTTACTAATCTCTAGGTTTGTCATATGATAATAAACTAATCAATTGTATGATAATCTACATGTATAAGGTCAGGCATGCCGTTATCTTGAGTCCTTAAATTCTTAAATAAAGAAGTTAATGTTCTCATCTAGTTTGGGAACCCTTGAATTTACGCCTTTTTTTCATGAATTTTTAAGATTGCTACACGCTAAGATTATTCATAAGCTAGAAACATCAGGGTATAATCTAGAAAGCACCATTTACCACACTTGTTCCCGTCCCTTTCAGTGCCAGGTTGAGGGGTTCCCGGCCCCCATGCAGCCCACTTCCGCATTCGATTATTCAGATTCCTGCTTCTCTATAGATCAGTGTGTTGTGTTTGGTTACACTATAGACTAATATGTCCACATAGCTGGTTGAAGTCTGAATTCGTTCAGACACTTCGATGGCTTCATGCCATTTTCTAGGTTAAATGGCCGCGTCTGATGATATATACATGTAGGGTTAATTTTTTCGAAATTGAATTCACAAGGGTGTTCAAAATCCTTGAATTGAAGATCGTTTACAAGGCTATATATGGTGGCAGTAGAAACAGAGCCCTGAGGTGGAGACGTTCGTCATGTACGTGAATAGAATGTTTTGCCATACTTTCTTGGCAACAGTTGGTTAGTAAAGTTTCTGTGAGATGTTTGATCGTGTGTATGAATAAATGTTGCGAAACAAGTTATATAAAAGAATTATATGTTTGTGCCAAATCAAAGAGGTCTAGTCAATTCGAACAACTATATTTTTTTAGGATACTGTCTTTCTTTTGGTTGAGATTTTTAAAAAAAATCTGCGTCATTATCAGGCATAATAATAATAATAAATATGCGATGCAGACCAATGTTGACGCTGAATTTTACGTAAATCTCGGTTGATAAATAAAAGAAAATACGATATATCGACCTATAAAAAAAACACACAAAAAAAAACAGTTATCGGCCGATAACGATTAAGCATTATATAGATCGGTAGCCGATAGGGTTTCCGATAAACGGTTCATGGTTACTAGAGTATACTAAAACAGAATTCTGACACTTACAATACGGGTAATGCGAGTGGTGGACTAGCCCATAAATAATTTGTTGTAATTTTATCTCTATTTTTTTTTTACTTTCATTATACCTGATCTGGTGTGTCTGATATCTGATAATGTTATATGAAAAATGAAATGAAATGGGGTTTAACGTCCTACTTTTCTGCATCGATTTGGCTATAATGAAGATGAGATGATGTTATATATAAAAAAAAACTACCTGTAGATGATCATGCTAGGAAGGAGAGCTTTGTCCCGATAAGCAGCGCTTCTACAAACTCTCCGTCTAATCCATCTGCTCGGTCTTCTTTTACGTGCCCTCCAATGTATACACGGGTCTAACAACCGAAAGACTGGACACTCTTAAACCCTGTTCTCCCAAGTGGTGTTACCCGGGCCATGCTGCATATAATGATAAAATTTCTAATTAAATTTGAAGGGCGATCAATGGCAAACGATTCCGACATGCCCAGATCAAATAATTAATACTTCCAAAGATTTCTCTGATTTTCAACCAATAAACAGTACATTTTCCAAAAATATAAAAAAATATCCATGGTTTTCTCAATCTGATTAAAATACAGATCTATATTTCGTTTCGTTTCTTTATAATTTCGATGGCCTACACTACATGAATACAGATCTATATTTCGTTTCGTTTTTTTATACTTTCGATGGCTTACACTACATGAAGATCTGACAAGTTATAGCGATAGGTCACGTCAGGGGTCAAAAGACCGACTATTGACCTATGACGTCAGACATTTGATTAACCAATCAGCATTGATGTTACTAGTGGATTACCCACAGTTCCGGGCAAAAAGGGTCAAACACTCGATTCGACAGACCATTTGATTGGCTGACCCCTCATTTCAAGCAAAACACGAGTTAAATAACAAGTCTTCCAGATCCAAGTGTAGTAAAAACAAGCAAAACGAAATTTTGAACTATAAAAACGAAACGAAATAGGATCTGTGTTTTAACCAGATTGTGGTTTTCTTGAATTGTTGTCACGGTCATTCGGCAAAATTGTACAATATTCAAAATTGTATTCTGTTTTCTTTTTTATTAAATTGAACGTACCAATTTAAACCCCCATGGGACAGAGCAACGTGAAGTAGTGTATGAATAAACATTTCTCTGAATAAGCAACGTAACTACCAAATACTGATGGAATCAAATCCTGCTGTTTTCGAACATTCGAAATTTCCAAAAATCTAAAAAATATTCATGGATTTCTTGAATTATTGTCACGGTTATTCGGCAAAATTGTACTGTATTCAAATCTTTTTTTTAAATTGACCGTACCAATTTGGTAACTATATACCAAATACTGATAAAATCAAATCCCGCGGTTTTCGAACATCGAAAATTTCCAAAAATATAAAAAAAAATCCCTCTGTATGAGATGTCACAATGATACCCGTTACGGTCGAGCGACTTTATCTAAATCCACACATACCTAACTTTATTGAAATTCTGACATGACAAGCCGAAAAATGTGTCATATCTTTCATTATGAAATGTTTGTGTAAAAATTTAAAATTATTTCCGAGATAAATATTTATTTAACACAAACAACGCCTATAAATTAGTTATTTAATATCGGGATATGGAGTTAACTTAATTATAACACATAATATCGTGATATTGAGGTAACCTAATTATAACACATAATATCGTAATATGCTAACTTAATTATAACACTCTATATCATCGTGATATTGCAGATCATAAAAGGATTTATAAATGAAAGCTATGAGGCGATAAATAATGAAACAATACCAGAAGAACTGCTAACCAACACATGGGCCATTGCATCTTCAGGATTTGTCATTGGTGCAATGGCGGGAGCTTTAATAGCTGGACCAGTAAGTGGTCGTTATGGCAGGTATTTCCTATTTAATACTAATAAAAGAGCATTATCAATAAGGAGATAAATATAATTGTCGAAGTAGTGACAGACGTAGCTAAACACATTTTGCAGGGTTATACGCGTTTTATATCTAGTCGTGCTGAAAAATTATATATATATATAAATGTATATAAATATATTTTTTAGTAAAAAAGCACTACTTGCCAACAATATTTTCGCTCTACTTGCAAGTGGATTTTCTGGTTCTTCTAAATTCCTGGGATTAGTTGAAATGCTTATTGTTGGAAGACTACTAGTTGGCATCAATTCAGGTAACACAACATGTTCCAATTTAATTCTTTAAGATCTGATATCACCGTTTACAAAAGTAATTTTTTAAAGGGTTTCCTTCAACAGGAATTAAAACCCTTTGAATTAAGTTTTGTAGACGCTTTTGACTAAATCATTAATGCTTATATTTATTATATAGTGTTGGTTACCCTTTTTGAATTGGCGGACACATATCATGTGGTATTTGTATTGTCCCTTGAAAGCAGTGGACTATATGGCGTAGCCGTTTACTCACCTGTGTAATTATGTGGTTATGTTTTTTTTTTCTGTTCCTGTTTTATATGCTTTTTCCTGACGTAATTAACGTCTATACTGGTTTTCTCTTATACATTGATAGTGTTACATAATTCTGTTTATATATTTGTCTCCAGGTTTTAATTGTGTGGTGATGCCAATGTATGTGACAGAAATATCGCCTGTAGCAATTCGTGGTATACTGGGTACAGGACATCAGATTGGTATTGGTATCAGTGTTATAATGGCAAATGCTTTTGGGTTTACCAAAGTTCTAGGAACGGAGGAAAAATGGCCCTTCTTATTTGGTAAGATGTTTTCCCACAATTTGAGGGAAAGGCAGCATTTTTTTAGGATATGGCGTGAATTATAAAGATCAATTATCAGGTCCATAACGAGCTCAGAGCAACGAGGGGGGCGGGAAGTGTTCTCGGGGGTGCTGTAATATTGACGGACAATGTATATCTATTTTTTTTTATGGTCGAAAATATGTCGCTGTGATCATTGGCGTGGATTTCGCCGGGTGGGGGGGGGGGGGTAGGTCTCTGTCCCCCCATGATTTTGATCGCCAGGACAGATTTTCAGGTTGATATCCACATGGTGGTGAGCTTGTTTCTACGTATCTGGATCTGAATCGGGTCTTGGAACAAGAATTGCCATTCTTCAAGCGCCAGTTTTCGGCCAATTCTATTTCACTTGTGCACGAAGCGTTCCTCATTATGTCACCTGCAGTGAGGCAAATGTTCAATTCTGTCGAAGCTCTTCTCATCTCACACTGCTGAACCCTGCTGGTTCCTGCTTAGCCGAGCGATCAAAACTTAGCTGCGCAACTCCATGACGCAAAACCGACTGAACCACTTGATGGCGTGTGCGATGCATAATGACCCCCTTCATGTCGCCAAGATATTCAAAGAGAACAGTCCTGATCGTAGAACGAATGTCTTTGGACGATTCACTTAACTTCATGAACAATTAATATTTTTTCCATATTGTCATCACATTACCCCTAGTTACAGCCTTCATCGAAATAACACTGTACATTAAACTGTTGGTAATGAAATGTTCCAGGTTCCCGGGTTGCTCCGTCCCCCCACCCCCCGAAAAAAAAGTTATGACAAATCCACGCCCTTGGCTGTGATGATTTTTGTTAATTTAGTCCTGATTTGCCTGTCTTCACTGGAGTTTTCAACCGGGGTCATGAATTCTTCCGTTCGACTCGAAAGTTTTTCCAGCCAATCGTCAGAGGATCCGTTTACTTGGCTCTCACGATTTCAAGCATGGGCAGAGATTCAGAGATGAACAAATTGGCCCAGGATTTATGCTCAGTTGTCAAGGCGCAGTGGTTCCAGCGTTTGCCTGTCAGTGTACAACAAAGTCCTACAAGACTTTATCATCATTTTAATGAACATTTTTCAAATCAACCAATTACATGGTTATTAGAACAAGATTTATGGAAACGTCAAATTTTAATGCATTCTTTCGAAAATATTGAACATTATATCAGTGACATTGAAAGTAAGTCGTGTCGGGCTTAATAAGACTGATCAGGAGAAACTGTCAATTTTTATTAGGGGACTGACACCCAAAATTCACCAAACTGTAATCCAGCATTGTCCTCAAACATTCCAATATGCCGTACAGCTGGCCCGAGTAGTAAATCGGTCGGTGTTAGTTACGAGTGATGAGGTGCTCAGTTCTCACCGCTCTCAACAGTCTTCAAGAACAAGTTGCCAAGTTGTCGGTTAGTTATTCTGTTACGTCAGCCCGTGTCGAAGATATTGGCGATCCTCAGGTTAAATGTCAACTATGTAATAAATATGGACACATTGCTCGCCAGTGTTATCAGTTTAAAAACCAAGGCAGTAGTAGTTATGGAAATCGTAATAATTGTCAACAGTTTCCACGAAGTGAACCGAATCACGTACAGTGGGGGGCAGCGAATCGTGTACAACATGTAAACCAGGATCAAGTACCACGCCCATCACTGAATCGAGTCCCACGTGTACGACCTAGTCACGATCGAGAACCAACTGTCTGTTACAAGTGTGGTGGGCCTAATCACTTTGCTACAAATTGTTTTGTCCGGACGGAAAACTGACGAATTCCAATAAAGTTTCTTCGTTTGTTCGAAGAGTGTCTAAAGGAGAAGAATTAAAACTAGAGACATTGAACTGTGAACTGTTAGGTAATTATATTCATGTGAAAATAAATAATTGTTGGACACTTGCTTTATTAGATAGTGGTGCTGATTTATGTGTCCTGGACTTCGAACTTGTTTTATTGCATTCTGCCAGATTGTTACCGCTTAAAGAGAAGAAATTTATTACAACTGTAAATAATGAACGCACTTTAATCTTAGGTCAAGTCCATCTTCAGCTACAAATAGGAGAAAAATGTTTATCAGTTCGATTTTTTGTTATAAAGAATTTGCACCCTAAAATAATATTAGGACTTGTTTTTTTGAATGCGCAAAATGTTAAAATAGACTTTAGTAATAAATCGGTCTCTATTGATCCTAGAAGACAATTAGTTAGCACTGAGGAAATTATTGTACCTCCTAAGTCACAAGTCATGCACTCTTGCGCGAATTAAGGGTCCAGACTCGGAGTGTTTACCGCACGGTGTGCTTGGATTAGTGACAGGTTCTAACACTTTAGCATCTACAGGACTTTTACCGGCGAAATCACTTTGTAGGTTATCCCAGAAGTCTGGATATCAAGGAATTTGTAATTTCAATGATGAGCCCGTTTCGAATCATAAAGGAACAGTCATTGGTAAATTTGTATGTATTTCAAAGGAAGACATTTGCGTTGAAATTTCCGAAAACATACCACAATTTAACAGTGATTTAAAGGTAGCTTCCCAAACATTTTGTACTGATGTGACAAGTGTAACAGTGTTTCAACTAATGTTTCAAGTGAATTGTCGTTAGACCAGTCAAATGAAGTACAAACTTTGATTAATGAATATTCGGATATTTTTGTTATCGCTTGGGACATTGTGACATCTTACAACATGAGATTCGGATTAATCCACATCAGAAACCTCTACCTCAACGCGCCTATAAATTGGGTTCAAAACAGAAGATAGCTATGGAAAACGCCATTCAAGATTTATTAAACCACGGGGTTATTGAAGAATCGACGAGTCCATTTGCTGCCCCATGTTTACTAATTTCTAAGAAAAACTCGCAGTCATACCGTTTCGTCATTGATTTTCGTCGCTTAAATGAATGTACATTTCTTTACATTAGACTTAAAGTCAGGCTTTCATCAGATTAAAATCCATCCTGATTCTAAGAAATCTACAGCTTTCCGTTGTTACCTTGGGCTATATCAATATCGTCGCTTACCTATGGGTCTTAAGAGCTCACCACCAACCTTCCAACGAGTTATGGAAGCTGTTATGCGGGGATTATCCTGGAAAATATGCCTAATATATTTAGATGACAGCACTGTGTTTAGTCGAGATTTTCTATCTCACATTTGGCACATACGGGAAGTATTAAACCGACTAAGATCCGCCAATCTTCCTGGGAAATGTTGGTTTTTTTTTTGACACACTAGGATACATTATTTAGGCCATGTTGTTAGTTCCAGTTGTATTTCTCCAAATCAGCGAAAATTGCAGCGGTTTCGTCATACCCAGTGCCAACCAGTTTAAAGTCTCTTCGCCCGTTTCTCGGTTTAACTAGCTATTAAAGAAAGTTTATCTCAAATTATGCTCGAATCGCTACCCCGCTATATAATCTTACCAAGAGAGGCGTTGAATTTAAAAGGACAAATTCCTGTCAAGAATCCTTCCAAAAATTAAAAACTTTAATATCAGCACCCATATTAGGATACCCAATCCCTAATTATCCTTTTGTGGTCTACACTATGGAAGCCTATAACTACCATTCATAATTTCTACTTTTCGCCTCTTCAGAACACGAAAGTCGAAAAGTCGAAAAGTAGAAGTTACGACAAAATGTGAGGCGACAAGACGGTATATAAGCCAAAATCAACTCGAAAATAGGAAATTAAGAAATAACACACCGCGATAATAGCGCCCCCCGTTTTTTCTTAATTTCTACTTTTCGACTTGCATTTTGGCTTGTATACCGTCTTGTCGACTTTCGACTTAGTCATATTTTTGTATTTATTGATGTCAGTAAGAAGGCGCCAACACGCTATACAAGCCAAAATGCAACTTGAAAAGTAGAAATTAGGAAATTAACACACTGCGCTATTAGCGACCTATGATCTGTCGTACTGTCGACTTTTCTACTTTTCGCCTAGGAAGTTATTGTAGTCTCTGTCTTCCAGGTCACATTGGAATACGCGCAATTCCCTTTAACAAAAATGTCTGTGTGATAGAGTCTAGTTGGTAAATGAAAAAGCGTGCTGAGCGAAACCGATTTTTACGATTCTGACGAGCGAGGCAGATGTAAGCCCCGCCTCTTTCTTGTTTAAGTCGCTCCCATTTTATTTGAAGGTCGAGTTTAGAAAGGACTATTTATTGTTAATAATAATTGTTATCAATACATTACAAGCTTTCAATTTGTTAATCCTTTGTAATTGTTTATCCATATTATTACTTCTCTCATCTTGTTTATTCTTAATTATTGATTAATCTGTTACATGGTTTCCAATTGTTAAATTATATTGCACCACATTTTTGTTATAAATCAATATTTGCTTGATAACGATATCTGTATGTGTATCGAAACGTAGCATGTTAATAAATTCAGAAGTAGTATATCCATATAAGTGTTTTTAATTTGTGAAATCTACTTCTATATGTCTTATAAGGATTATTACTAAAGTCTGTTCGACAAAAATCATAGTCTCGATTATCCACTTACTCGTTAAATCGAGAAGGAAAGTTATGCAGCAAATCGGATAATAATCCAACAAATATCGCAGGCTAGCGTTGATTATAGTCTGGATACGTTAATCAATGTCTAATTAATAGTTTATATAACATTTCAGGCCTAAAGAAAGACAAAGAATATGCAAATTTAGCTCTTGCATAATGCATGTTTAATTTTATATAATACATAGAAATATTTTATAACCTTTCAAAATTAAGAAAAAGTCCAAGCGAGGCCGATTAGGCTCTATACGCGGTATTGGATGATGCATTTCCGTGTTCCTGGGATATATAAGATAGTGTGCTTAATATACGTAACACATTAGAAAGAAATATCATTATTTTATGGAAATCAATTGAAAAAATATCCGCAAATCTTTTAATCGCATAAGAAAAGGGCTGACTGCTAAGCGAGGCCGGTTGTCTACTTCATGTGGTATAGTGCGATGAATTCCGCTATTTCTGTGATATTATTCTTGATTTATATAATACAATCACTTAAATATAATTTTTCTATGAAATTTAATTCATAGAAATACTTTATAATCTTTCAAAACTTAAGAAAAAGTCCCACTGATAAGCGAGGCCGATTGTATACTTCATGTTGTATAATGCGATGAATTCCGCTATTTCTGTGATATACGTGATATTATTCTTAATTTATATAATACAATCACTTAAATATAATTTTTCTATGAAAATTAATTCATAGAAATACTTCATAATCTTTCAAAATTAAGAAAAGGTCCCACTGCTAAGCGAGGCCGATTGTATACTTCATATGGTATAGTGCAACGAATTCCGCTATTTCTGTTATATATATATAAGATACAATTCTTAATTTATAAAATGCAATCACTTAAATATTGTTTTCTTTCTATGAAAATTAATTCATAGAAATACTTTATAGTCTTTCAAAATTAAGAAAAAGTCCCACTGCTAAGCGAGGCTGATTTTATACTTCATGCATAGCGAGGCCGATTAGGCTCTATACGCGATATTTGGTGATGAATTTCCGTGTTTCTGGGATATATAGTATAATGTCCTTAATATACGTAAAACGCTCGAAAGAAATATGATTATTTTATCAAAATCAATTGAAAAAATATCCCCCAAATCTTTTAAACATAAGAAAAAGTCCCACTGCTAAGCGAGGCCAATATTGTGTACTTCATATGGTATAGTGCGATGAATTCCGCTATTTCTGTGATATTATTCTTAATTTATATAATACAATCACTTAAATATAATTTTGCTATGAAATTTAATTCATAGAAATACTTTATAATCTTCCAAAATTAAGAAAAAGTCCAACTGCTAAGCGAGGCCGATTGTATACTTCATGCATAGCGAGGCCGATTAGGCTCTATACGCGATATTGGATGATAAATTTCCGTGTTTCTGGGATATAATATAGTATAATGTCCTTAATATAAGTATTTAACGTTCTAAAGAAATATGATTATTTTATCAAAATCAATTGAAAAAATATCCCCCAAATCTTTTAAACAAAAGAAAAACACTGACTGCATTGCGAGGCCGATTGGGGGTTCTATATGTAGTACAGTGCGATGGAATTTACTATTTCTGAGATATATAAAATAAAAGTGAGAGAGTGGGTGGGTAGGGGGATTTAACGATTTAGTGGAAGATCGAACATCTCATTTTTGCAACTACGATACAGCGAGCCTGTTTAGATTCTTTGTGAGATAGGGCGATGGGTTTGCCTACTAGATATAAGATAATATTCATCATTTATATTAACATTCAAGTATAGAAATTAATGGAGAAAATTTTTACAAGATATAAACATAAGAAACGGGTGCAGGGAGATCCAAAATCTCATCTCAACTAAAAGTAATATCAAGGCCGTATATCGAACTGTCAATCAAATTGACTGACATACGGCCTCGCTCAGCAGCGGTCTCGCTCAGCACGCTTTTTCATTTACCAACTAGACTCTATCACACAGACATTTTTGTTAAAGGGAATTGCGCGTATTCAAATGTGACCTGGAAGACAGAGACTACAATAACTTCCTAGGCGAAAAGTAGAAAAGTCGACAGTACGACAGATCATAGGTCGCTAATAGCGCAGTGTGTTAATTTCCTAATTTCTACTTTTCGAGTTGCATTTTGGCTTTCTTACTGACACCAATAAATATAAAAATATGACTAAGTCGAAAGTCGACAAGACGGTATACAAGCCAAAATGCAAGTCGAAAAGTAGAAATTAAGAAAAAACGGGGGGCGCTATTATCGCGGTGTGTTATTTCTTAATTTCCTATTTTCGAGTTGATTTTGGCTTGTATACCGTCTTGTCGCCTCACATTTTGTCGTAACTTCTACTTTTCGACTTTACGACTTTTGTGTTCTGAAGAGGCGAAAAGTAGAAATTATGAATGGTAGTTATAGGCTTCCATACTACACAGACGCCAGTTCGTTTGATCTCGGGGCTGTGTTATGTCAGACGCAAACCGACAACGGTGAATGCGTGATTGCTTACCTAGGATGATCACTTTCTCCTGCGGAACGGAATTACGGAATAACCGAGAAAGAATGTTTAGCGTTGGTGTTTGCCGTCACTCGTTTAGTTAGCTACATCCGGTATAACAAATTTACTGCTGTTGTAGATCACTCCGCGCTCAAATGGCTATTTCAGATGAAAGAACCAGTAGGAAAATTTGCTCGATGGATTGCTATTCTCTCATCGTTTTCATTTGATGTAGTTTATAGAAAAGGTTCAATTCACTCGAATGCTGATGGTTTAAGTCGTCGCGAATATCATATATCAGATGGACACGAAGGGTCTAATTTAGATGAGCTACCTTCCTATGATGTTATTCCAGATCAACCTACACGACCAGCAACTATTCATCCTACAACGAAGTCTATAAAATTAGCTAAAATTGACATCGTGAAGAACGCTTATCAGTTTAAGTTGCGGTACCAAAAACCTTAATTAACACTGGTTTAGAACATTATCATGATGCTTCATTGTTTGGCAGTCATTTTGGGATCCATCGTACCATCAGTAAAGAGCGACAACGATTCTTTTGGCCGAAAATGTACTCTGATATTATCGATTGGGTAAAATAATGCACAATTTGTTGTCAAAGAAAGGTCTGAATGCAGAAATTGGGGAACACCATCATGGCGATAAATAACATTGTTTATAAAGGCATTCGCAACAGTAGATGCTTTTATATCTGAAACTGGGACCAATTCTACAAACTTGGTTAGATAGTCTATAAAAATAATGATGTATTAAATTCCTGATTCTTTGCATTTCGGCAATGGTCCCAAAATATCGGTACTAAGCCTGTGGAATGGTTCACTAGCAACGGGCATTGGTGTGACTTTCGTTTTTGTGAGGTTAACAGGTGCCTTTCTTTGGCAACATCTTTCATACACACAACGGCTAAATAAACATATTTAATTTCATTCAATATGGCAATAGAAGAGAAATAAATACTTCTAAAAATTTCTAAAAGCATACTTAGTGTTTTAGACTAAAATCGTCGATGTAGGAATTAAAATGTCGGTAATTAGGTTAGAGCCTGTTCACAGACGGAACTTAAATGTTTTAGGTGCCTTGCGCTTCGAGAAACGGGCCACAGGATACCGACGTTATTGGATTGAATGTGATTTAAAGTAAAATTATGTAAAACTCTAATCCAAAATATTCTAATTCCTGTTATTGTCTGCTTCTGAAATCTAGGTTAAATCCATTGATTTAGTTAATATTAAGACGTGGCGTATGTCGTCCACACAGCAGGATATGTTTACTCTTTCTGGATTTTAGCAGTTTACATAGCTAATAGTTTTTTGTTGGACTTTTGCATAGATAAAATCCATGTCATGGAAAATCAGATAATGTTTAAGCTGAGCTTGACGAATGCGTCGTTTGCATCAGACTAATGCCCGTATTTATTAGCCCAGTTCGGAGCAGAACAGTAGGACGATAAACCCCATTTCATTTTATTTCATTTCATCAGACTAATGACTCTCCTCCATTGGTATTTAACTTATTGTAGATGTTCTAAAATTATCTGGTTTGATATATTTCACAGCGGTCATAGCGGCACTAGCTGTATTCCAATTGATTACATTACCGTGGTGTCCCGAAAGTCCAAGGTTTCTAATGATAACAAAAAACAACGAAAAAGATGCAGAATCAGGTTGGCTGTTAAAATTAATAATTTTTTTCGTCACTGTTACCATTCAACATTTTCTCCACATTGTATATGTATATATGATTGACAATAAATAAATCCTTGTGTTATTTTGTATTTATATATTGTTAAATCATTGTGGTATTTTGTATTTGTACATCTATATAAGTGACTATATTAAACCATCGTGTTATATTTTATTTTTAATTGTATTATTGCACAAGCTTTAAAATGGTTACGTCGTTCATCAGATGTTCATGATGATATCAATGAAATGAAGATAGAACGTAGAGAATTACAAAGTATGAAAAAGGTCAGTTCAGTCTAATTTTACCATATCTTTTAAAGGAACATATTAATACCACCAGTTTCGTTACCGGACTATCATAATAATTGGAAGTTTGATAGAGATTATTGTGACTACCTTTTTACGCTCAAATATGGGCATTATTATTATTACTATTATGAATCCCATGTAAGATTACCTTATTAGTCTTGACGTGCAAGTCTTAACTTTAGTTGCTAAGGCAACGTTTCTGCTGGGAAAGGAGACATCATGGCCATGCGGTTGACAGTTCGAGGCAGAATTTGACTTTGGTTTGCATTTGGATCGCTAGGTAGCGGTTCAACTTTTTGATATGTGTTGAATTTGTGATTTTACACATCGATAGTTCCCAAACTAATCACAACCGATGTTTCGATGTTTATATCGGTGTCCATATTGATGTCATTGACGATGTCTGTATGCCTGTAATATTGCCAGTATTGATGTAATGTTGATGTCATGATTGTGATGATGTACATTGCCGCACTGTTCATGGATAATTAATTTGTTTGATTAACTCTATCGTAGCGCGCCGATATATATACGCACATTGAAGTTGTGATTATTCAAGCTATCGATTGTTCAAGTTTTATGGTAAACTTTCATAATGTCTGAAGACGATAACAAGCAATGTGATGTTTCTGACGACGATAGGTCGTTTGGTTCGCAAGTCAGTCTCAAAATTTTACAACAGAAAGAAAAGTTGGCTCCTGCACGTTCAAAGAAGCAACATATTAAGCAAAAAATGGAAGTTTCAGAAAGATTAACTAGGTTAAAAGCTGAAGAAGAATTATTAGATATTGAATTTGAAGAACAACAGGCACAGCTCAGTTTAGAACTTTATGAAAAGGATGAAAATGAAGACAGGAAATCTGATGTTTGTCGCGACCGAACATTAATTTGAGTTTACTTCAGATTCGCCAGAAAAAACGTTCACCAGTGATGACATAAATTGTCTAACACCCATTGTAAATCGAAATTTACTTAATGGTGGTAGAGACTCTGTGGTTATTGATATAGAAGGACCTGTCAATTTATTTGAATCTCCAAATTTAATTGTTAAATCAAATTGTAATAATTTAACTGTTGAGCACAATCCTGTATTATTAAATGTTATACCTAATGTAACTAGTGTAGATCATGATTATTTTATTTTAAGCTTGCCCATGTCAGTTAATAATGTTTATTCATCATACCAACAAAGTGTAGGTAGGCCTATGTATTGTAATACGTTACCACAGTATAAATCTGTAATTAGGGAATCTGTTGTACAATCTGATACCAATAGAGTGAATTTATCTGTTAATAATCATGTCTTACCTCGAACAAATAATAATAACATGTCTGTTTGTACTGTTTCTTCAATGTCACTGCCAATTACTTACCTATTATGTCTGTTTCATCAAATATTTCATCTATTCCATATTATTATGCAAATTGTAACATGTCTGTGTGTAATTCAACAAATTATAATTTTATACCTACTTGTACCATTGATGGTAGGCCTACATTCACAAATGCTTCCACATCTTATAGTAATAATGTGCCAATCAGTCATGTTGTTTTCCCCACACTTTAGTCCAAGTTCTAATTTAAATTATCCTGTAAATACTGATAGGCAGAATAATGTTCATACTTACCCTCAGAGTAATAATTCTGTTTTTAGAAGGAATGTTTGTGATAACTGTTAGTTTTATCGGTAATACGTTGCAATAGTTAACAGATTTTGTTCAAATTCAGCATATCAATCATTTCAATAACAGGGTGGTACCTTTTTATATCGTTCCATATTTAACCCCCAAAGGCAGAACCACACCCAATTTTTGAATTATCGTCTACACGCTGCAAATTCTGAATGTATCATCTTGGAACTTTGCATATTTATTCCTTATACCGTACAGACAGCAACTATTTATTTTGGTGCATGCCCCATCCCCTGGTGCAGTGTCACAGCCACTTTTTTGTTAATATTTTGTCTGTAGATTTGGCAAAACAAACCCAACGCCTAGCCTTCTTTGCCTGTTGTCATATTACATCCATTTCATATTTTATTCTCTTCATTTTAAAAAAGTACCATATCAATCAAAGCAGGAATGTGGACGAATATTGCAGCGTTAGCGATGCTCTTGTTACTTGTGCAATTATATCTGTGTCCTTTTCATCGTGCTATTATTACCTAAATTCAGGTATTGGTATACGTTCAGACTACTTAGCTTAATGACAATACGTCGGGCCTTATATCACCAGCATACCAATACGACCATGAATATTGCCACATTGCGCATTACTATGTAAATAAAAACACGGGGAGTTCACTAATTCATATTATAAACACCATTAACTCATAATATCATAAGTATCATAATATCATCATTCATATCATAAACACTCATATCATCATGAAAACTATTTCACAATAAACACCATTAACTTATATCACAATTAACACCACCAACTTATACCATCATAAACACCATTAACTCTATATCATAATAAACAACATCAACTCACAATTAACACGATCATAAACTCATATCAATATAAACACCATCAACTTATATCAATATAAACACCATTAACTCTATATGTCTATTATATCATAATAAACATCAGCAACTCATAATAAACAATATCATAAACACCATCAACTCATAATTATCATCACAAACACCATCAACTTATATCATCATACACTGTAATACACCATTAGCCCTATATGTCTGTTATATCATAATAAGCATCATCAACTCATTATAAACACCATCAACTTATATCACCATAAATGCGATGAACTCGTATCATCATAAACACCACCAACTCATATCACGATAAACACCTCCAACTTGAATCAATATAAACACCTTTAAACTCTATATATTATATCATAATAAACATCACCAATTCATAATAAACATTATCATTTAAACACCATCAACTCTATTTGTACATCATAACCTTTTTTATTCTGGTAAATATATTATCATCTAAGGACCATTTTGGTCAAGTATTAATATAAGTATTCGCTATATATAATAATAATAACCATTTCTATACATAAAGAACAACTACAGTGAATATGGGATTTTCCGATGACTATGCAAAACATGTACAATAGATCGCACTCATTTCTCTGCCAATCAACCCTTGGTATCTTATTATCATGTACCGTTCCATGTACTACGGGTGTAATAAATGAGGTTAAACTTCGCCGAAAAAATTGCACGGGATCATTCGTGGAGTTCCTGGTGCCGTTTGGTGAGTGATTAAACTGTCAATGCAATTGTAAAATACTTTTATTATAAAGAAGATAACCGATGTTAGACATTATAACCTAATCGTATCAAAAACGTTAATCCATCCATCAATTAAATGTTGTTTAAACGCCAATCAACAAATAATACGAGGCTACTTGATTACAAAAACACCGATGAGCAATAATTATTGGGTATATAGTAATTTTAAACAAACTTATTAGTAAAACTTAATTATTTTATACAATTAATATGTGTGTGTACGATTCTACCATTAGTTCATTTGTGGGTACTACGCACACATTCCACCTAGAGTGATGTCTTTGAACTGGCCGGCGTAAAAAAGATAATTACCTAATCAGCATTCTTAATCCCACTAACAATCACTGCTAACAGTCTGTATAAGTTTAGTCGCATTGATTAATTAATGACAGATATTAACGACACTCCTTGTCATATTATTATCAATACACAAAGATAGTTAGATGACACTTCTCAATCTGTCTGTTATTCCACTACCCTCAAAATTTATTTGTACTGTATATTGAGATATTTTTTCGCATTTCATTTTTACGGTCTATTTCAGAGTAATGAAGTCAAATCCGTCGTACGATGATAACGGATCGTCATTTACAAATCGCTTTTCAATCATGTTTGACTTTTATGATACAATTTGCATGACCACTTCTTTTTAACACTGTACTTTTCTACTCGCGGAAATTAGAACCACAATACTCTTTTGACGAAAATGTATCTCTAATCAATTGGACTGCACACGATGTTAGAGGGTATTAAAATTCCTGTCATGAGAAACAAATTCTAAATTGAATCATAAATTAAAATGAATTACAAAACAAATTATTCCGTAGTCAATTGTTTTATTTAATTAAGGAACTAAGGGGGATTAAGGAACCTGTCAGGCTTTAATGAGTACACACGCCGGTTGTATATAGGTAATTAAGGAATAAACATTCCGAATATGCATTCGGTCACTGTGACGTCACTGGCGTCTGAGGGGATTAAGAGTGTTTTCGATAATTGGCAAAGTCGTTTTTAAGGGAGGTCTATTTTTACGACTTTGAGTGAAGATAACTGAATTAATTTCAATCAGATTGGTGTGAACTTGCCGTAAAGTTGATATAGTAACCATTGGCTACACATATCCAAAAGTTTCCAAGCCCATCTTATGTGCACTTTAATGTAAACGATTTCCCATACTTTAGTTTACAGTACTGGATTTAATGCGAAATAGTGACCTGAGAGGACCTATGATTATATGTATCATGATTCATCTTTCACAACAACTGTGTGGTGTATCAGCTGTAAGTTTCAAAATATTTTATACAATATAAATAGTGTGGTATCTCATAAATATGTGTTATTGTCTAATTAATAGTTTTGGTTTATCCCACTCCTGGTCTCAACAAAGAAATATTTCTGAAAAACTGCCTTGCCTTTGATGACCATGTTATACATCCAAAAATATTAAGAATTTCTCAAACCACATGCCAAGTAGATTTGTTTGGACTAACGGGTAAACCATGTTTAACAGTAGTGTTAGAAATGAAATTGGGCATCCTACTGTTCTGCTTCCACCATACCCCTCGCAGTGTTTCGTTTGATTAGAGCTAATCCCACTTAACACTGCTGTAAAGGAAGCAAATTTCTGTTCCAAATTATGACTGGTCAATAGTCCGATTAACAACCAATACTAACTGCGTAACAATATCATTACACTTTAAACAAAGCTCCAAATTGGACCAAATATGTTTACATAACGTTACGTCACGACTCACGATTTTATTATGCCCAATTAACCAGTGCATAGCAGAATATTGAAGAAAAACTAATTGCGTGACAATCGAGGCTTTCAACACGAATACAATGTAAACAATACTGTTTGGAGACGAACAATACTTTCACCGTTTTAATACCTTAAATCACTGTCCAAAGTTTTAGGGAAGACCCCAGATTAAACGAAGGACTGTCATGTTGCTGTACTTGGGATAGATTTGATTCTACGGGAAGAATAGACACACTCCCTCAAAAGCTCAAGGTCGTTCATGTTAAATGCAAGCTTTTTTCCCCAAAAAGATATAGTTAAATTTTGGTTGTATTTCAGTTTGCTTCGTATTCCAACAGTATATTTCTACAGATATTACACAGTGAAGAACTGTCTACATATTTGGTATTGGGTTTAAGTGTACAGGCCTTTATTGTATGTGATGTCTTTACAGTTTTTGTAGAGAGATTGGGACGACGAATGTTACACATGGCGGGTTTGTTGGGAATGGCCATCAGTTTAGCCCTAATTACGATCGGTTTGATATATCAAGTGAGTACTAGTAGATGTGTTCAGTTTTGTTGGGCTTTTTTCTTAATTCGAATTATTTAGCCTTTAGCTCTTTAATATGCCACCGACGGGCAAATTCACGGCAAGTCTTTAAGCCGAAGACTTTCCACAAATAACATTACATAAATAATATATCAAAATTAAAACTAAAAAATCATACGTCTGAATTCCCCAAAGAATCAGGCGAATACAGGGAAGTCAGCATTATGTCGGGCCATCCTAAGTAATGACACGTGCAAGCTAAGAGCGTATATCTCTTGTAGAAGACCTTTATACAATTCCCATTCGTTACGGAAAATCATTAATTGAGGGGCGCTGTTTAGATATGTAAGCATTATTACGTATTCCAAATACTATTGATCATATTTCAGAATCAGATTGATTGGTTAAAATACGGTTCCCTGATTGGTGTTTTTGGCTTTGTTTTCTGTTTCAATATTGGTCCTGGTAAGATATTAATTAAATCGAACGTTCGCTTATGATGATTCTCAGGAAATCTGTGTCGTATCACTGAAGTTTGAATCAAGCGTTGGTGCAATAAGTGCTGAAATATTAGGAATCGACCTGTAATCGTCGAACGAAAAACCATAGTTGCACGATACGCATTGAAAAACTAAAAATTGTTTCCATCAATTACATGTAGATGTATTGCTCCAAACCCGTTAAGTGCTAGAAGGTCAAACATAATTTGGCTTGATTGAATTATATAAAGGTTCAGCTATTTGGATGTGTACTAGTTTAATGCTTCCAGAGCTGGAAGCAGTGGAAGAGTCATGTAATTTACCCCTGGAGTACCGACTATCACCCCCAGTATTTCTGACTATAGTCGACATCGGTTGGCTTCCACTCCAACATTCCTTAATGTGATATATATTCTGTCTTGTATTACTTTGTAGGATCCATACCATGGTTTATTGTTGCCGAAATGTTTACTCAACAGTCAAAATCCTCAGCCATGACAATTTCTGTATTCTTTAATTTTTTGTCTGCATCCATAGTATCATTTGTCTTCCCAGATATTCAAGTAAGTTTATAATGTTTTTCTTCCAAAAACTAATCATTTAGAAGCCATGAGCTACTTTTGTATTTTAGGCTGTAATTGATAAGTATTCAGGTTTTACCTTGAAATGTAACAGCTTACTGACATCTAGATTTAAATACTGATGAAAATTCTGGTATCAAGAAAGTCAAACACGTCTAGCCTTAGCTAACTTTTATCAATTTGTATTTTACAGAAACACATCAAAGAATATTCGTTTGTGCCATTTATCGGCTTGATTGTACTATTTTTGATTTACTTCTATTTTAAACTACCAGAAACCAAGGGTAAAACAATTGAAGAAATAGCTGACCAATTTCGATCAAAGAAAACAAAGTCGATGTTAAAACTTATTGAGAGTGATGCTGTATCCAATTCAATTGATTACTCTACCGAAACGCTATCCACACAGTTATAGAATTGCAAAGACGTTCTTCTACCTGAACGGGTGCGGCCTTTCTGAATTCGAGAACAAAATTATAAGTATGATTGACATTTATGTGATGATTTAATTTCGGAGATGAAATGCACGTAGGTAGATAAAAAAATGCGATGTTGATGTTTAACCGACTTTGTTGTGTTCAACAGTCGACAGTTTAAGTCAAAATGAAATAAATTAAAATCTACCGAAAGTTCAATCGTTACACATGTGGCAAATTAAAACAGCACTTCCAATCATTCCATTAAAATACTATATCGAAGAGGTTTTTCTTTTAAATTATTTTTTAATATCTTTTTGTTATACAATTTTACATAGATTAAAATAAAGCTCTTGTAGTTTATTCAAAACTTGCCCAGGCTCATCTTTTAAATCTACATGTGTAAAGTAATTTGTGTTGTTTGGTTTTATGTCATTTGTGTTATTTTCTTTCAAAAACGGAGAAAGGAGGTAGGGTCAAAGTATATGTTATAGGCGGAAAAGATTCCATGGTAAAGATAAAAAATAGCGTACTATTAGTGCCTGCGATTTCTATATTGATTATGCAAGGTTATATTTAGTACTAATGTAACTACACGTACCTACTGATGATTCCTCGTTATCAAGGTCCTATATTAATCATGGCATCAATAATTATGGATCCCGTCAACGCCCTTGACATGTCTTGCGTGATGGGGGCACGGTAACACAAAAGGCTGATATTGATATTATTAGCAAATGACCTTGAAGTCTGGTATGCTAGACATTCCAATTCCCAAACTAACCAAAGTGGAAATGTACCAGACAGAACGTTAAAGATCTAGTTTTACAAATTTGGGTATATTTTTGCTTGCACGGTTTCCATATATTAGGAAATTAAGATATACTCTTTGCATATTGACCAATAAAGTAATTAGTGCCTCTGACGCACTCAGAGTTTATCAGGCTTCAAAAGAGCAGGGTGTGATTGATGTCTGCGATATCACCCTAGTTGGAAGCGGACGTTAAGCCCGACGAACGAACAAAGACTGAGGGGGACATCATATAGCGCCATTGCTGATGTTTAGACTTATGCTTATATATATGGAAGACCAAACAGCTCTTTATTCAGTGTCCTTATTTCTTAGTTCAATAAACTATAACACATACTTATGGAAGAACAATTACTGATTTATTTGGGCGACGTTTCGAAGAGTATTCTCTCAACGTTTTCAAATAAATCAGTAATTGTTCTTCCATAAGTATGTGTTATAGTTTATTGCTCTATCCAGTTACTAAATGCCTCTAAAAGATCATTTCTTAGTTCATAGTCCTTAATTCTTATTTCTTCATTTGTTGTTGTATTCCGACATTTGTACACTAAAATTAATATTTGTATCTTAATTTACAAATCAGACATTTGTCATATCAGATTTGTAAAATGTATTTTAATTGTATTTTAATATAAAGATAAAATTTATTTTAGAAAACAAAATTAGCCAACATTTACATTTCATCAGAGAAATACAAAGAAAAACAAATCTGGAATAACAAATTTCTAAATACAAATCTCAAAATACAAATCTTATAAAACATTTCTCCAAAAACATATCTTCAATAACATTTCTCCAAAAACAATTCTCGAAATCCATCGAACCGGAATATTATGACGACATGAGCAGAAATCAACCTGGCATACAATAATTCACAATACAATAATGGGGAATCGAGCAAGCATAATACAGAACTAGAACTGCGATGCAGTGATGACGGGTTTCACCGGTGCCACGTTATTCTTGAACTGACGTCACTACCCAAAACAATGAGAACGTTAAACAGATTTCCACATTTGCATTGCACACGTGTTTTAAAATCGACGCCGAATTAGCCTTTAAATCCAGCAATATCATTTCCATTTATACAACGAAGTCTCGACACGATGGCATCACTTCCGTTATCAACAAAATATTTAAATTTGATTACTGATACTGACAAAACTGGTTATTTCTCAGCAAGGGAAGACGCTTGAAACACTTTTTTGATGCCTATATGATCGTATTGATTCATACTATTTGTCCATTAAAATCAAATATCATAATTTTATACAAATAATGAATACAGTTTTTGCCGAAATGACATTACTTCCGGTGAAAATGAAAATCTTGAATTTGTCTAATGAAGTCGTAAATGGCATAAGGCATCACAGGGTGAAAATTTTATGAAAATCAATTAAAAATTGACACTTTTATTGACCAAAAACCTTGAAAAGCAACTTGAAGAAAATTGTCCATTTCTCCGCAACGGAACAAGTTAGAAACCATTTTTTGATATCTGTATGATCGTATCCGTTTATTTTATATGTTGATTTAAACTAAAAGTTAATATTTTCAATACGTAGCAAGAAATTATCAATTTAAAAAATATTGATTTTAAAGGTTAAAATTCAATTTTTGACAAAATGGTGTCATTTCCAGTGTCAATTATCAATTTGATTTAATGTACGTTTGCTTTATGCATCAAATGGTATCACTTTTATGGATATCCATTAATAATTGACTCTTTTACAGGAAAAGTGACTCATCCAAAATTGCCCATTTCTCAGCAACTGCTCATATTACAAACTAATTTCGGCAGTTTATGAACATAACATAGAAATATTTTAAAATATGAAAAGCCTGAATGGGTTGTAAATTGCTTAATTTTACACTCTTTTTCTGTTTTAAATCGAAATGGCGCAAACACAAAATTAAAAAAAATCGAGTTCGATATTTTTGCGCCTAACATATGGGCATTCTTCTTGATCTATCAGATTTGTAAAAATTAATATCTGCTTGCGAAAAGACGTGCAGACCGGTCAAAATAATTTTGACAAAATTACGTCACTTCCGGGCCGACAGAAAATTTATTGGTAACAAACAAGTTGAGAATTTGCATCATGAAACATAATTATGAACTTTGTATTATACATATTGAGCAATAAATAATTAACCTAGAATCCATAAACTGAAATTTTTGTATTGTTTCAATCTATTTGTTGATTGGAATCAAATATCATAATTTTAAACAAATAACAAATACGACTCGTTTGAATAAAATATGTGTTTTGAAGGCTAAAATTTCAGTTTTTGCCCAAATGACGTCATTTCCGGTGACAGTGAAGTGTTAAAATGGTTTGACCTTGTCATAAGTGACATTAGGCATCAAATGGTGAAAGAAAATTGAAAATCGAATAATAATTGACTCTTTTACAGGCAAAATAGCGTAAAAGGTGACTTATGAAAAAAAAATTGACTATTTCTCGGAAACTGCTCATATTACAAACTAATTTTGACATACATTTTCTTCGTATGGATTAATGTTACATGTTTATGATAATTACGAATGAATATTTGAAAATATGAAAAGCCTGAATTGGTTGTAAATAGCCCATTTTTACACCTTTTTTCACCTTTAAATCGAAATGGCGCAAATACAAAACCGAAATTAAAAAAAAAAAACGAGTACGAGATTTTATACATCTGTAGTAGGGGCATTCATCTTGATCTCTCAGATTTGTAAAAAATTAATATTTACTTGCGAAAAGGCGTTCCGGACTGTCAAAATTGTAGTTTTTGGCAAAATTACATCACTTCCGGTGCCGACAGAAAACTATCAGTAACAAACAAATGAAATTTGGGACAACAGAGCATATGAACTTTGTTTTAAACAAATCGAAAAATAAATAATTAATCTAGAACCGAAAAACTGAATTAGCCAATGGCGGCTAGCGCAAAGTACTGAGATATTTTTTTTTCATATTTTTGCTTAAGTCCGAAGACCCTTTAATCCTGTGCAAAATACCATCAAAAAATATTCATAAATAAAAAACCTTTTTGTAAAAATTTAAATTTTCAAAATTTGGTGCCTAATATCTGCAAAGATTCGTAGAAAATCAAAAATTTAAACTACTGTAGCTATGTGCCCTGTCTCAGGCTATGTCAAAATGTATTACGGCAATATTTAAAAAAACCGATAACTTTAGCGATTTCGGACATTTCGCATTGTCGCAGAACGTTCGAAATAGCTTTAAGCTCTATGTCACACCCACCTTTACAGTAAAACCGAAGACGAAAGAGTGTTTAATGTCTTCTAAATCATGCAATCGTGAATATGCCAGGAAATAAGTAATATATTGAAACAGAGAAAAATAAATAAATACTTTCCGCTTTATATTTATGTACCTTGAAAAGAGATTAAAGTTCCACGGTACTAAACTTTATTAATTGAGGGGAGGGGCGGGATATTTAAAGTAGAAAAAAAAAGATCTTAATAAGAAGTTCTCGATATCTGTTCATATACAGCTGAAAGTATGTTTATTGTTTGCTACAAAATGTAAATTATTTTCTTGCACATTTGTAATTACATACCTTAAAAGGGAACAAAATTGGAATGGCACTAACATGTATTCAATGAGGAGGAGTGTGGGGGTATTTGACGTCAAAATACGCGCCATAACACAAAATACAAGATATCGATATGCATACCATACATTTTAAAAATTGTAAAATATTTTTGACATATTCATATTTACGTACGTTGTTAAAGCAGATATAATTTGGATCGTCTGAACGACTTACTAAATGGATCAAAGCAATTTTTTGTGAACAGTATGTTGACACATTAGTGATTAATTCATCATATTCCAAGACATTACGAGAAGGTTTGAGTCTGTACACAGTCTATACATCAGTATGCGAAATGTGGTATGGCGTGGGGTCTGAGAGCTTGATCGATGTAGCGCACTGCTGTGATGCCGCCTCCTCTCCCTGGACCAAGATTTCACCCCAAACCATTATGCTTGGACCTCCCCATGAGTCTCGTTCCATGACACATTGGTCCGAATAACGCTGGCCACGTCGACGCCATATTCTTGTCCCGCCATCTGCAGTTGATACACAATACCGACTCTCATATGTGAACAGAACAGTTCTCCATTGCCTGTGTCAACAGTTCTGGTGTTGTTGGGCAAACTGTAGACGTTCACGTCGATGGCGAGGGGTGAGGATCGGTCCACGGTGAGGTCTAGGGCAATGGATGTTCTTCTGGTGAGACCTCGGCGCACTGTATCGGTACTGATGGGTCTTCCGTGTGTTCCCACTGTCTGACGTGCTGTCTCAGATACTTGTGTGAAGGGATTCTGCACGTGCTGTCGCACAATATGGCGGTCTTGTCGCCATGTGGTAACACTTGGTCTACCAGTTCTGGGCGATCATCCGTGGTGTTGCTGCCCCGAAAGCGTTGCTGAAGCCTTTA